TATATATATATAAATAATAAAAGAAATAAACAAATAATAATATAAAAAATAATAGGAAAAATAAATAAAGAGATAAATCACTTAATCGTTCATTTGTATTTAATCCTGAATTTTTTTTTTCTTTATGTAGTATTTTCTGTATTTATTTTTATTCTTTTTAACTTTTATTTACTTCTATCATTTATTTATTTATGTTTTTCAATATTTTTTTAATTTTGCAGGTTTGGTCCTCCATAGCGGAAGCCATTTTTCATCACAGGACAAAAAAATAATACAATTTCTCGCAATTGGGACTTTATGTCTCACAATTCTGATATAGACCTGTGAGTCATAAACTCAGAATTGCAAGAAAGTCCGTATTGTGAAATAAAAATATTGCAAGAATTACAAAAGTTAGAATAGCGAGAGGAAGAAAAATATATATCCTTATAGAATTGTGAGGGGGGGGAAAAATCTGACTTGTGAGGTAAAGAGTCGCAATTTGTATTTTTTATCTTGTGGCGGAAACAAGCTTCCATACAAACCTCATCCATTATTAGCTGTAGCTTTAGCAATAGCATTAGCACAAGCGACACTACCTTCCTCCACCTGCTCCTCTACCTCCTCAAGCACCTCCTCATCCTGCAACTCCTCTGTGCAAAGCAGACGCAGACAGCGTGAGAACATAAGCATGCATATAGTTGCAAATGAGCAATGCACGCATGCAATATACACAGACTCTCAAACACATGCTTATCTGAATGTTGTTGTTTTTTTGTTTTAAGAAAAATATATTCCCATATTAAATCATTTTGTCCATTTGAGGACATTGCTATATGTTTGCAAAATTAAGTTTTGTCAGATTTAGCTCACGTTTGGTGTATATATTGTCACCAAAGTATAACAAAACTCAAACACACACACACTTCAATCTCATTTAACTCTTTGAATGCATATGAGGAGTTTGAGGGTAGATGAAGGAAATCAGGCCTCATTTAAACAATAAAGGCTTAGACTCGTGAATGATGTTACGCAGTGCTATTACATAATGTCGTTTGGGAAACTGCTGGTCCTGATACTCCACCCTCGAACTAATCCAGCCACACATAAACACACCCGTCACCGCTTTCTCTGATATCAGCTTCTGCTGCCAAAGAACATGATCTCACAACACACACCCCAGCGCTTATCCGCTCTCACTCTCCTGTTCTTTAATGCATGTTGGGTAGGTTTACAAATCAAAGCAGCCAAATGTCCTCCCAGAACAACAAATACTGGCACTTTCACGAATACGGTTTAAAACAGGACCTTAAAAATAAAGTTGTTTTTTTCAACAAATGATCGGTGAAAGGAGGTGCTTAACAATCAGATTTATTTTTAAACTAAAAGGTTGAGTTAATAAGCTTCACGAGTTTTTTTTGTTTTTTTTTCATGTCAGAATGGTTACTCATTTTATATGAGCAATTATTGCGAATGGAAAACACGTTTGAAAATTACAGGGTTGGAATTTATTTTTGTTTTTTTTTGTTTTGTCTCCCATAAATGATCAACTGTTTCCCATGTGGATAAATTGTTTCCCATAAATTAAAGAAAATATTTTAAATACAGTATACATTTTTTACAAATATGTTTCTTTACAAAAAAATATTTTCACTATATATAGGTGATGAAAATAATTATTCATATTAAGAAAAGTATTTAATTTCAGTCAATATTTCTTTTAAGTAACATAAGGTGGCAATTAATATATTTTCTAGCTACTTTTTAAAACACGCAGTAGTAGGATTTGTCCCACTAATGCTTGTAATTGGATACCAAAAAATGTCCTGTTTGTGGAAAGTGCCAGCTAAATTCTTCTCCCTGAACCTGTATTTGTTTCTACAGGTCTGATTTCAGTGGGCTAAACACACATTCCTGTCACATGATGAAGGGACGGTTTGTTCTTTGTTCAGTGCAACCTCATTCACTGTGAATCTCACCTAGAAAGGCACTCTCTCCGTTACTGGTCAATAAAGGTAACATTTAACTGAGGTATCGGGGTAAAAGCCCAGGAGCCGATGTGCAAACCAGATCATCTACAGCGAGGAAACCTGATTCCCATTTGGGCCGGCCGAGAGAGGGAGAGACTGAGCTTGTCATTGTGCTCCAAACAACAGCCCTTCTCAGTGGCCTCGAACACACAAACCTTTCTCTGCGTGAACACTGACTGGAATGTTGTAACTGAAGTTGCTTCATGAAAAACAGCAGCAAAATCATAGAAAATGATGTCTAATGTGCATGCTTTTTAATCATGATCAATAATCGGAAGAATAATCAAATGCCATTTGTTAAGTGTCTCTAAATAATGTTGTTTATATCCACCTGTACATGCATACATGTTTATTAATTAAAATCGATTATTAAGTGAAACATCACTGCAATGCATTTCTGCATTTGATGCCACAATTTGATGGATTTAGTTTATAGCAATAATTATAGATGTCCAGGAAAATAATCAGTAAATTTGTGTAAAAAAATCTGTGTGAAAAGATCATTTCTGCCACATAAAAAGCCATCATAATAATGACATAAAAATTATAATGACATAATGACAAAAAGTCAAAACTAAGAGATAAAAAGTAATAATTATGACAAAAGATTTAGATTTGTTTTGTCATAATGACTTTTAATGTCATTCATTATTCATCTTTTATGTGAGAATGCTGACAATTTGTCAGTTATGATTTAGAGCATGATTGTTCTCTTATGGGGTGGAAATGACTTCAATAAAAGGTGAAATGTTCAAAAAAATGCTCAATAAAAGGTGAAATGTGAGAGGTTGTTTACATGAACATCTTTTAGAACTCTCAGAAATGTAACTTTTTTGTCATAATTATTTTATTTATTATGTGGCAGAAATGGTCTTAGCTAAAAGTTGAAATGTTCTACGTGAAAGTTGTTTGTGTTTATACCCCCAAGATACTAGCTATTTTACTATGTTAGGTTGTTGTCTACATTAAAAAAAGTATTTTGTCAGGTAATCTAAATTATTATTTTATATGTAAACATCTAAATTAACATTATTTAATTAAAAATATTACTTCTTATAATTACAGTGCATTTTGTGTGTTGTTTTGGAGCATTTGATATAAAATAATGTTGGCTTAATAGACAAAACTGTGAGTTTAATGCAGATTTATTATTTACAGAGAAGCAAAACAGATGAAAACTTACCCTCTTGGCCCCTGGACAGAATCAAACAAGATGGGAACGTTATGTTAACTTTTCCGATCACTATAAACATGTCAGTGATTGAACGTGTCTATGGATGAACTTGCATGCATTTATTCTCTTGTTCCATTCTGCACAATGCATATAAATGCTCTTAAATGAAGCCCAAAGACACTTACTCATGCTCAACGTCCTCTCTGTATGACATGCTTAGATTAAGACCTGTTTCATATACAGATTACAGAAGATTTTGTCAGCTCTTACAATGATTATACTGGTCTGACAACATATTAAACGATCAATCTATCATGCTTTTGGTGGAGACGTGCAGATATTGCTCTTACCTGTCTTTAGGTCAGGATGAGGTTACTCACCGGTTTGTCAAAGGCTGTTTGCTCTTGAAGCTGAACTCCAATGTTATATAAATTGTCCCAAGATCACATGACTATACTGTATATGAAATTATTTGTGTTGATAGAGGGTGGGCTGGACGCACATGCCACTGCACATACATGCATCTATGAACACGTATAGTACATGCACAATGAGAACAATAGACACATTCTCTTTGTCTGTGCATCGTGTCTATTAATAGATCGTCTGACAACTGTGCGCTCATATGATGATCTTAGTGTTTCTACTTTAACTGTTTTGGAGTGATAATTTTATACATAATAAAACAGTGACTTAGGTGGTATGATATTTAGATACTGGTTAATTAAAGGAATAGTTCACCCAAACATAAAAATAAAAAATAGCTGAATATTTACTCACACTCAGGCCAGCCAAGATGTAGACGGGTCTGTTTCTTCATCAGAGCAGATTTGGAGAAATGTAGCATTGCATCACTTGCTCACCAGTGGATCCTCTGCAGTGAATGGGTGCCGTCAGAATGAGAGTCCAAACAGCTGATAAAAACATCATAATAATCTACAAGTAATCCACACCACTCCAGTCCATCAATTAACGATTATTAATTATTGCACATGTATTATTATTATTATTATTATTATTTTAGGTTTGTTTTATTTATTTTTTAAATGTTATTTATTTGTTTGTGTTTCTTGTTTTTATTTTTTTTATTTGTTGTTGTTAAATTATATAATTAGTTAAATAAACAACTAAACTGTATCTAACATGATAATATTATCAGTAAAATAAAACTGTGGCAACTCGATTTAAGCTGCCACTGTCATCAATACAAAATATGAATAAAACAAATTTGATTATTATATGGGCTACATAAATGGCAAAATAATGTTTAACTTTTTTAGAAAATAATAATATCACAAATAATACATACAGAAGGCAGAATCCTGACTGGACGAGAGGAGGAGCTGGGGATGGAGGAGGGTAATTAGCTATTGAGCCAACGTGAAAGCTGCTGATAATACTGAAGGACCTTATATATGGATGATGTGATAGGCGTACTGTTATAACATATTAGTATTATAGTATAAACAATATATTATCAATTATATAGAATCTAAACATTTGATAACATTGCTACTCCTAAGAACTGACAGTATAATATCAACGCTGATAAAGAGACTGTCTTCCTGTTCTCACTTGCTCATTCGAGAAGAAACACTCTTTAAGTGACCTGCTCTTAAATCATGTTATTTGCTAAGTTGCTTGATAAAAGAAAGATGAATGATGAAACTCAGCACAATGAATGCACAACTGCACTGGGCTGGAAACACTATTCAGACGGTTAATCCAGCACTAGAGTAAAACTTCATTATGTTCTAGTGAATGCAGAGGTAATGTGAGGGACATAAAGGCAGATATTTCAGAGGTGAGTCATGTGACCAGGAATGGCTCAATGTCACAAAAATACAGAGCAACTTTCTCCTCTCCTGTGAAATGGAGAGTTGGTCAATCAGGGGTGAAATGTTTCACACTGTGACCTTGTGTGCACGTCATGGACAATTAGTGAGCAGTGTTTGGCCTTAGTAACTGGTTTTGTTGGTCTTCTACAGCTGGTTATGTGTTTGGACATGTTTTGGATGAATGGCTTTGGACTTGATTTTTATGCACTTTTTCAGTTTCGAGTATGACATTAAAAAGCTTTCTAAATATCACTGTCAATTATTTATTTTCAATGCACTCCTAAGAATAAAGGCTCTTCAATGGTTCTTTAAACTGGACAATTTCCACTATAGTTGAGTTGTTAATGCTAATGATCATTGATTAGTACATATGCACTCGGCAGATGCTTGTATCCAAAGAGACTTACATTGTGTTCAAGGTACCCATGTAAATTGTATCAGTTCTTGATTTCTCTGGGAATCAAACCCATGACCTTGTGGTTGCTAGCACCATGCTGTACTGTTTGAGCAACAGGAAAGCTATTCAATACATTTAGATCAATATAGATCATAGTGTAAAAGTAAATAAGTGTAGAGCATTTATTTTAATACAATTTCATACAAAGTTCTAGTTGGTAAACACTGCCCTCTAGCAGCTGGTAAGTGTAGGAGCATCAGTTTCTGTTGGTTTTACTGATTGTCAAACCTCATACTTCCTCATAATACAAGATCAAATGAGACTCTTTAAGATATGATGATAATGATAAAATACACTCCTTTGTTCATGTGACTGTAATGCAATGACGTCAACGTTTAACTGGTAAACTGAGAAATATGCAGCCAAACCACTGAAACATTCACTTTGGCCTTATCAGCACATCCGGGTTTCCAGTGCAGACACGCTATACGTACGTATAAGTATGAATCACTTTATAAAGGCAGAAAGGAGGGTTTTTTACCCAGTTTATTTTCTCATTTCGTCACTTTCTCCTCAGCTTTAGTCCTTACCAAACATTTGTCCAGTACAAACATTCACATGAAATGACAAATCATGATATTTATTTACAGTAGAAACTGATTGTGTTCACTTGTTTACTGTGCCGCATCAAACATTTTCTTCCTTCCTTCCATTCCAGACATGGCCTCCACGTTTTTCCTCCAGTCACTGACCTCCACTGTCTTTTCCTACAAAAAGACACACAAACACAAATGCAGAACTGAACTGTGTAATAATGCAGGTCTGAGTAACGCTAAACTCTTTCATTTCAGTCAAGATGGACACCATCGACCCCCAGCACACCTTCTCTGTGTCTTCCTTCTTGACGGACTTGAGGTTTGCTCTCAGGTCCATGGACACCTTGTGTTTGGAGCCCAGCAGAGAGCGCAGGATGGCGTCAGCGGAGACTCGGACTCTCCTCAGGGTGGGTCGCTTAAATTTGCCTCTCAGGTCCAGGACTTTGATGTTCAGGTCCTTGATCTGCAACAGGTTTGTTGAACAGTTTGGTTCCTGTATGAATATGATGTCACGTTCTTACACAATACCACATTCCTATTTCTTTTTTAAGAAATTGAAATTGTTGTGACTGATGTGCTATATTAAACATTAAATTAATGCCAAAATCAAGACGGATTCCTACACCCTCAAACTTATATTTTTGTATATGATTAAATATTTTGCAATAAACGTATAATCAGTGTTGGGGGTAACGCATTACAAGTAACGCGAGTTACGTAATCAGATTACTTTTTTCAAGTAACTAGTAAAGTAACGCATTACTTTTTTAATTTACAATAAAATATCTGAGTTACTTTTTCAAAAAAGTAACGCCAGTTACTTTGTTTTCCCATTTATTGACTGACAAGTCTCCTATCGGAAGTACAGAGGAGTTGTGTGCGCTGTGTGAACATGATGTTACTGTAGTTCTAGTCGTAGTACTGTAGTATGTGCATTAATTCATCCCACTCACAAAAAACAGATTTAGTATTCATCAAAATGAATTAAAACTGCCAAATAAACTGCCAAAACTGCCAAAACTCAGAATATGACGCAAACCTGCAATAATTAAATATGTTAAATAGCACAAATGTATCTAATCCCATTTTATTAACCAATGTCTTTGCTGCTGACCTTTGATGATCCAGTTCAACCATACTAATAAGCAAAAATGACTTTAGATAAACTAACAATTGTGCTTCATTGTTTTTTTATTGCTGAAGAGTGTTTCTTCTCCTGCGTTCTACTGTACAGACGTGAATTTACTTTTCCTTCAGCCTGAGGTTTATTCATTACACTTTTAGATGTGAAAGGGCTTTTACATTTGCTATAAATAGAACTTCTTATATTAAAAACAATCAAGCCCTGCTCATATTTAAAAAGTAATGCGAAAGTAACGCAAAAGTAATGTAACGCATTACTGTCCATAAAACGCAATTAGTTACTTTTTAGGGAGTAACGCAATATTGTAATGCATTATGCGTTCTACTGTACAGACGTGAATTTACTTTTCCTTCAGCCTGAGGTTTATTCATTACACTTTTAGGTGTGAAAGGGCTTTTACATTTGCTATAAATAGAACTTCTTATATTAAAAACAATCAAGCCCTGCTCATATTTAAAAAGTAATGCGAAAGTAACGCAAAAGTAATGTAACGCATTACTGTCCATAAAACGACTTTTTAGACTTTTTAGGGAGTAACGCAATATTGTAATGCATTACTTTTAAAAGTAACTTTCCCCAACAATGTATATAATGTATATCAGTGGGGGGTTTTTTATAGCCAGTATAAAGGCATTTGCAATGCTTCATGGGATGAATATTTATTGGCACTTACGTTTTTTTTTTCCCTTCAGTTTTTCATATAATTTCCAGTTGTTGTTGTTTATTATTGTGATTCATCTTGGAACGTTGGAATTTTGTTTGTTTATTTTTTTTTATTCTACAGAGAAAATGAATGGGAAAAATACTTCCACAAGGTCACTAAGCAAGTGGGCACTCACTGTAAATTACTACTGGTTCAGTAAATATATCGGATAGTGTTTTTGCTTTTAATATGGACTGACAAATGAATACTGGAAACTTGTTATTTTGTGTCTGGTTTCTGTTTCAGTGCAACTGGCCAAAAAAAAACAAATGAAATAGACACATGGTGTGTTGTTGACTGAGCTGTATAAAGAGTTCAACTGTTTCTTTACTTCTCTTGTGTTGTGAAGCACTTTAGCCTCGATATCGTAGCGCTCCTCGTCCACCACATCGATTTTAACGTGTAGTTCCCGACACAGCTCCTGATAGAGAGAATAAATATAGTGTTTACAGGCCTGCTGCTGTTTCTGCTGGTTTTGAAAGTGCATTTTCTAAAAGTAAGATGGTGTCAGATGTTAATACATTGGTGCTTTTATATATACAGAGCTTTAATATTGTTTGTTTACAATTCATATACAATGGTGCTTAAATAGCACTTTTGGGATACAGTAGTTTCCAAAAACATAGTTTTCCATGTATTTTTTTTGGTAATACAATGGTACTTTTTGTAAGGGATTCATTTATATTAATACCAGTAGTATGAGAGTGTTTTATGAGTTGTGGATGTACCTGAAGCTCAGCTAAAGACA